CAATTATCATTAGAAATAATTAATAACATTCCTAAAAATGCAATAACTATCTATACCGATGGTAGCAGAGACGAGCTAGGACACACTGGCAGTGGCTGTCTCATTAAAACCACAAATGGCATTGAGAAAATGAACAGAAGAAACCCAGATTTTTGCTCAGTCTTCAGATCAGAACTTATAGCCATCTATGAAGCCTTAAAATCCATCAGAAATACTAATTATCAAGATATCTGGATTCTTACTGATAGTAGAAGTGCCATACAACACTTGAGTCACACAGGGGAACTTAGAGACAAAGTAAGCAGGAACATAATTGGTTATCTCCAAAAACTCAAAAACCTCAAAAATTCACCTTCAATGGATACCCTCACACGTTGGCATTGAAGGCAATGAAGCTGCTGATGTGCTAGCGAAAAAAGGCACAAAAGAACCCTTGCCACAGAAAAATAAACTTACTTTTAAAGAAATAGAAACAATAGCCAAAACAAAAATAAACAAGAACTGGAGGATCCCACCTAAGCACAGTTGGTACAGTGGAGTGAACCCAGGAGGAACTCTGAACATCAGAAATAGACAGCATCAAACAACACTAACAAGATTTAGAACAGGCCATCTCAAGCCATTGAAGATAGAAAATAATAACAAAATTTATCCCACTTGCCCAAAATGTAGCTTGGCACCTGCAGCTCCAGAACACATTTTGGCTTGTATTAGATGCACTAAACAGGACCTTTGGGAGAGGCCGCTGCTCATCATAAAACAGCTCGAGGAGCATGAACTCATGGAATTCGTGTAATCTTTACACAAGGGGATAAGAAACAACAACAACAAAATCTACCTCACTTGCCCAAAATGTAGCTTAGCACCTGCAGCTCCAGAACAAATTTTGGCTTGCATTAGATGCACTAAACAGGACCTTTGGGAGAGGCTGCTGCTTATCAAACAGCTTGAGGAGCACGAACTCATGGAATTCGTTATATTTTTATACAGGGGGATAAGAAACATGATAACCATGGTAAAACGACATTTGAAAATTATCCAGCATGTGTTTCTTTTAAACGAAAAATTAAAATATAAATTATTATTTTAAAGGAGAAATAACGACTATTTCTAACCTTAAAGATGAGGTATGAAAGGGTGAATTGTGAAGAGTAATGATAAACAGAAAAATAAGTGTCCAGGGATGGGAATCGAAACCACAATTTTCTAAGGTTCGAAATCATTATTTCTTCTTAAAAATAAATTTAGATTTTTCATTTAAAAGAAACACATGCTGGATAATTGTCAAATGTCGTTTTACAATCACAAGCCGCATTATATTGTATTATAAATCATGGTTTGTGTTGTGTCATTTCTTATTCCCTTTTGCAAAGATAAATTTCATGAGCCCATGGCTCCTCAAGATGTTTAATGATAAGCAGTAGCCTCTCTCCTCCTCAAAGGTCTTAAAACATATTAAAGGTGTACTTGGGGAAATTGAAAAAATATATGTATACAGATAAAAACATTAAAACCATGCTAAAACAAACCAGGGATATAGCAAACCCTTCATTATAACAAACCTGAAATAATCCCATTTTTATGATACAATGAACTATGGCTATTGTGAACCATGGCTATAGTGAACTAAGGTTATAATGAACATGGCTATTGTGAACCACGGCTATAATGAACCATGGCTATAGTGAACCATAGGTTCAGTCCCATTGAGGTTTGTTATATTCATGCTTATCCATCTCAAATGTTTTTTTAATACAAAAGTACCATTCCTTTACTCAGCAGTTTCCATTAATCATTTAGAATATATTATAAACCACTTTAAAAAAATCCATGTTTCACACAAATCTTGTATATTTAGCTGTGTAGAAATTTAATGGTTATATTGTTCCAGTATAAAATGTGCTATTCAAAAACAAGCTAAAACACAAGGTAATAAGACCAAATCCAAATAAATAGTGTATTAAGTTTCAGTAACAACGCTGTTACCGAAACTTCACACACTACTTATTTGGATTTGGTCTTATTACCTTGTATTTAAAATCTATAATCCAAATTGTGCCTTATCAAAAGCTAAAGCAATATTACCAAAGTAGTATACCAAATTGAAGATAGCTGTTCATCCAGTGTTGATCAGCCAACAAACCTATGGTGTAAAATCATTCCAATCAGCAATGGTAGCCTAGAGACAAATTCACAGTTTTACTAAAAATGTCAATTCCCTCTTAGAACATATGCCAAAATTAAAGCTTGTTATAATAAAATTGTGTGCAGGGGGGTCGGTAGAAGGCTGGTCATAAACCTTTTGGTTTTGGACCACTACGACCCGGGTTTGATTGCCGCATTGGACATTTTCTGTTAAAAAAAAATGCTCCAATGGACCCCGATTCTTGCAAAAGTCCAACCCCACCAGCGAGTGCAAGTAACCAAACAGGGCTATAGCACATTTGTAAGTGCAAAGTCGAACTGCTTTTCACATGTGGTGTGCTTACAGTAATCCATGGCCTGTACACCACACGTACTAGGAATAAGCAAAAAAAAAAATTGTGTGCAAACCACACATTGAAACTATTTCTAACAAAGTATAATAAAGAACAAAGAAGTTAACTAAATGTGATCCCATTTAATCAAATCAAGGTAGTGTGAGGACATAAGATATATACATGGGCCCATAGATGACACTGTTTATTTAGAACTGGATCATCTGTCCCTTGCGTTTCCTGTCTCCACCAATCTCGAAGTGCTTGCAGCGTTTGATGGGGAGCTGCTTGCGATACTTGCACTCTGAGCACTCCATCCTTAGCACAATCTTCTTGGTTGTCTTAGCCTGTACCACAACACATGCAGACACTTTAGTTGATACTCATTGTTGACAAACTACCATTTCATGATTTTACAATCCGCATAACCAGATTAATAAGTAAACCCAAGTCAGATAATTAAAGTGTATTTTAATGAATGGTCAGCTTATCTAGTAAACCAACTGCCATCCAAAAAAAAGTTAATTTACCTTCGGTGTGAAACATTGTGGTTAGAAAAGAACACACAATGTGCTTATCGAAGGTTGCAATATACAAAACATTGAGGTTAGAAAGGAACACACAATGTGCTCCAAGGTTGCAATATGCAAAAGGAACACACAATGTGCTCAAAGGTTGCAATATGCAAAAGGAACATACAATGTAGTCAAAGGTTGCAATATGTAAAAGGAACATACAATGTAGTCAAAGGTTGCAATATGCAAAAGGAACATACAATGTAGTCAAAGGTTGCAATATGCAAAAGGAACATACAATGTAGTCAAAGGTTGCAATATGTAAAAGGAACATACAATGTAGTCAAAGGTTGCAATATGCAAAAGGAACATACAATGTAGTCAAAGGTTGCAATATGCAAAAGGAACATACAATGCACTCAAAGGTTGCAATATGCAAAAAGGTTTATATAGTAGTGTATTTTAATGAACGGTCAGCTCTAACCGTAACAACTTAAGCAGCCATCCAAAAAAAAGTTAATTTACCTTCGGTGTGAAACATTGAGGTTAGAAAAGGACAAACAATGTGCTTATCGAAGGTTGGAATATGCAAATGAGTTTATATAGTAGTGTATTTTAATGAATGGTCAGCTCTCTAGCAAACCAACTGCCATCGAAAAAAAAGTTAATTTACCTTCGGTGTGAAACATTGTGGTTAGAAAAGAACACACAATGTGCTTATCGAAGGTTGGAATATACAAAACATTGAGGTTAGAAAGGAACATACAATGTGCTCAAAGGTTGCAATATGCAAAAGGAACACACAATGTGCTCAAAGGTTGCAATATGCAAAAGAAACACACAATGTGCTCAAAGGTTGCAATATGCAAAAGAAACACACAATGTGCTCAAAGGTTGCAATATGTAAAAAGGTTTATAAAGTAGTGTATTTTGATGAATGGTCAGCTCTAACCGTAACAACTTAAGCAGCCATCCAAAAAAAAGTTAATTTACCTTCGGTGTGAAACATTGAGGTTAGGACACACAATGTGCTTATCAAAGGTTGGAATAAGCAAAACATTGAGGTTAGAAAGGAACACAATGTGCTCAAAGGTTGGAATATGTAAAAAGGTTTATATAGTAGTGTATTTTAATGAATGGTCAGCTCTCTATCAAACCAACTGCCATCCAAAAAAAAGTTAATTTACCTTCGGTGTGAAACATTGTGGTTAGAAAAGGACAAACAATGTGCTTATTGAAGGTTGGAATATACAAAACATTGAGGTTAGAAAGGAACATACAATGTGCTCAAAGGTTGCAATATGTAAAAGGGTTTATATAGTAGTGTATTTTATGAATGGTCAGCTCTAACCTCAACAACTTGAAGCAGCCATCCAAAAAAAAAGTTAATTTACCTTCGGTGTGAAACATTGAGGTTAGAAAAGGACACACAATGTGCTTATCGAAGGTTGGAATATGCAAATGGGTTTATTATATTGTAGTGTGTTTTAATGAATGGTCAGCATACCCGTGACAAAGGCAGCCATCCAAAAAAAAGTTAATTTACCTTCGGTGCAAAACATTGAGTTTAGAAAATAACACACAATGTGCTTATTGAAGGTTGCAATATGCAAAAGGAACATACAATGTGCTCAGAGTTTGCAATATGCAAAAAGGTTTATATAGTAGTGTATTTTAATGAATGGTCAGCTGTGGATCAAAAAAAAGCAGCCATCCAAAAAAAAAGTTGATTTACCTTCGGTGTGAAACATTGAGGTTAGAAATGGACACACAATGTGCTTATCAAAGGTTGGAATATACAAAACATTGAGGTTAGAAGAAATGTTTATATATTGGGCGAGGAAAACTCACCTTCTTCCTGAAGATAGGCTTGGTCTGACCACCATAACCCTTTTGCTTCCTGTCGTAACGCCTCTTTCCTAAGGACAACACACAAGTAGGATTGTTTTTCTGTTGCTATTTAGAACCAAATCATCAAACTAATGTTTTAGATTGTTGCCCCAAGTACAGTAGGGAAGTGTACCGGCCACTATTGAGTCAGGTGCCAGGTGTGAGCACCTTCCTCACCCAGCAGCGGTTGACTGTTTACTTTGCTTCCAGTTGACGGCCACAATGACCATGTATAGGCACATTGGGTGCTTTTAGGAAGGGCAATATGTCAAACATAGGGGCAACTACAACACTTCAGTTCAATTAAAACATTAATCCAAAGGGACAACAAAATAAATGGAAACTTTAGATCCTAAACAATAACTTTTGTTACTTTTTTTTACTGATTTTACGAATAAAGAAAAAGCTACTTGAATTATTTTAGATACTTTATACAAAGACTTAAGAAGCACAAGGTAACAAGAACCAAAACCAAATAGTGTGGGACATTTTCTCATCAACAGCATTGTTATTACCAGAGATAAAAGTACTAATAAAAAATGAGGGTAACAATGCTGTAACCAAAACACACACCACTTATTGTCTTAATACCTGTATTTCTAATCTATGAATTAAATATCATAACATTTTATCAAACTATGTTTTCCATAAATTGATTGTTGCCCCAAGTACAGTAGGGAAGTGTACCGGCCACTATTGAGTCAGGTGCCAGGGTGTGAGCACCTTCCTCACCCAGCAGCGGTTGACTGTTTACTTTGCTTCCAGTTGACGGCCACAATGACCATGTATAGGCACATTGGGTGCTTTTAGGAAGGGCAATATGTCCAACATAGGGACAACACTTCAGTTCTATTAAAACATTAATCCAAAGGGACAACCAAATACAATTAAAAATTTAGATCCTAAACAATAACTTTTGTTACTTTTTATTTACTGATTTTACTAATAATAATAATAGTCGAACTGCTTTTCACATGTGTAGACATGTGGTGCGCTTACAGTAAAAAGCAGTCGCTAACTACCCACCATGATTATCATGGCCTGTACCAAGTGTACTAGGGATAAGCAAAAAAAAAAAAAACTAATAATGAAAAAGCTACTTGAATTATTTTAGATACTTTATACGAAGACTTAAGAAGCACAAGGTAACAAGAACCAAATCCAAATAGTGTGGGACATTTTCTCATCAACAGCATTGTTATTACCAGATACAAAAGTACTAATAAAAAATAAGGGTAACAATGCTGTAACCAAAGCACACACACCATTTATTAATTGTCATAATACCCTGTGTTTCTATAATATTTACTTTGGATTTCATACTTATGATTGTAGTAGTAACATGCCACAAATTATGATTGCTTGTATGGTTAGTCCTGCAAATACTTGGGTAAACAGTAATGCTACAAAAAGGTATTAGGCTTTTAGGCATAAAAGCTTTTTTATCAGCTTATTTAGTTTTTTTTTTTTTTGATTATCCCTAGTACACGTGGTACAGGCCATGATAATCATGGTGGGTAGTTAGCGACTGCTTTTACTGTAAGCGCACCACATGTCTACACATGTGAAAAGCAGTTCGACTTTGCACTTACAAATGCCAGAGCCCCGTTTGGTTACTTGCACTCGCTGGTGGGGTTGGACTTTTGCAAGAATCGGGGGCCATTGGAGCATTTTTTTTTTAAACAGAAAAAAGTGCCCAATGCGGGAATCGAACCCGGGTCCTAGTGGTCGAAAACCAAACGGTTTACCCAGCCTTCCACCGACCCCCCGCTTATTTAGTAAATTTAATGACTGCTTTTCACATGTGTAGACATGTGGTACACTTACAGTAAAAGCAGTTGCTTACTTCTACCCACCATGATTATCATGGCCTGTACCACGTGTACTAGAGATAAGCAAAAAAAGATTGTTTTGATATGAAAATGCTTTAGGGGTAAACTTGCCATATTAGTTTTACTGCACCAAACCAAATGATATTGTGGCACTACCATTTACCCTTTGGTTCCAAATTTGTCTCCCAAGCTACTGAGGCTCGTAGCCTTTTACAGCTTCCAACCTCAGCCAGCCGGGATTTTACTCTAGCTTCATTTTGCCGGCTGTGGGGCACATGGGGGCACCACACAGTGTATTCAAGAAGCTCTGGAACCTTGTTATACACACTGTAAAATGCTTTTTTTAGCTAAACCGCTGTTCTAACATTGGAAAACATTACTAACTATTTAAGAAAATTCTGAGATTTTTTTTTTATGCAATACCCTTGTCTGATATTGGTAAAAATATTTACACGTGGTTATCTTTTAGTTGTTGTGAGCAACATTTTTAGCTCTTCACTCAAACAACATAACCCTATACTATTCATGATAAAGCAATATTTAGATTATAGATTATAGCTAAAAGACCTAACAGCTCGAGGAGCATGAACTCATGGAATTTGTGTAATCTTTACACAAGGGTAAAGAAACAACAACAGAAAAGACCTAATCCATATAAAGTGTATGACTTCCGGTAACAACACTGAGCGAAAGTCACACTATTAATTTATTTGGATTAGGTCTTATTTTGCTGTAGTTATAATCCAAATAGTGCTTTATCATCAATAGTATAGGGTTATGTTGTTTGAGTGAAGAGCTAATGTCGCTTACAACATAAAATTGAGAATTACAAACATAATACTCATAATTTACAACACATTCTGGCAAAAAGATCACATGTAAATCTTTTTGCCCATAAGTTTTTACCACCAGGCGGAAGGGGTCTATGTATTCCTACAACTTTATAAAACATGGTTATTTATTATGTCTATTCAAAAATAAGAGCAAAATTGGCAAGCTTGCTGACTAAAGTTGTAAATATGCTAATATGAAAATAAGTTTTTTCCAATTAGGATACGTTTGGTTTAGAATACCAGTAAGCTTGTCTTTAAGTCCACCCCATGAAATTCTTTTTAGTTAGGTCAGAATTTAAAAATTTTAGATATTGCAGTGTGTGTGTGCTTTTGGCAAAAGATAATAACAAGTTTAGTTATTTTTTATAAAAACATTAGTTTAAATAGAATGAAAATAAGAATATTATTCAGCATTTTACTCTTTTTTTACAATTTTTACACATTTGGGAAGTCTCTGGATCAGTTCACATGTTTACTAACCCTAATCTGGCTAGTGTTTACAGGTCTTATGTAAGCCTAAGTTAAGAGTTAGAAAACATGGGAGAGATCCAGATCTAAATTGTTTGTTAAAAACAAGTTTTTTTTTTCCACTGCAATATTTTTTACATGAACCATACTTAATTTGTTAGTTCATTACACATGGTTATCTTTAGCCAAGCTTGATTTTCCAAGATAATTACCATTCTGGTTCAATATAAGAGTATGTATAGAAGTAAGCTTTAAAAACACATGGAAGAATTCTAGAAAGCAGTTTTTTTTTAAATATATATATATAATGAACTTACCTTGGGCATAGATGGAATCTTTTCCCTTCTTGTACTGTGTCACTTTGTGAAGGGTGTGCTTCTTGCACTTTCCCTTGCAAAAGGTCCTACGAGTTTTTGGAACATTCACCTAGACAACATAATTTCAAATAAGTTCCTTATACTTCCTGTGAAGCCACCTATATGAAGCTTTTACCAAAAAAATATTAAAATTGGGTGTCTCATTCACTATCGAGGCGATACTAAATGGAAATATAGCCACCTCACCCAGCGATGAGTTTTGATATACTTCCACTTGACGGCCAAAACGCATATAAATGCATTTGGTGCTTTTGGGAAGAAATGATTTTTCAATTTGTTTTATATAAATATATATTTGATAAAATGCTTATGAATATTTTTCGGAAATTTAACAATTCAACCAAGTTCCTAAGTATTTGATGAAAACAATTTGAAATTTTAATATATATATATAGGGATTTCAAAATATGCTTTATCTTTATATCAAGTTGAGATATATTTTTCCAAAATAATATTTAGTAGCTTACCATTTTTAATAAATGGGTGATTAAATACGATTAGTAAAAACTCACCATTTCGTAGTAGAAGTAAGAAAAAGACAATTTGAAGGGATAGTCCTTTTGAAAATTTAATCTCAAAACAAATTCTATGAAGTGCAATTAAACCACAGAATAAAGATATTCAAAACTAAAGGGGTTTAATTCAAAAGCTAATTTTCAATTTTATCTTTATTATATATTTATGATAAACTTCAAATGAATACTTTAAAAATACTTTCTTATATATTAAAAGCTTCAGATAATTAAAAGGTATATATTGGATTGAATGCATTTATAAAGTGCAAAAATTTATTTATTTATTTGTTTGATTTTTATTTTATGTTATAGGCTTTGTGCACTTTTAAGACAACATTTTACACCATGATGACAATATTTTACACTTTAATACCAGGATTTTAATTTTTAATTGCTATTAAACGATTTTATTAGGAACTTGAAAAATTAAAATATTGATATTTTTCATTTTAATAGAAGCACTTAATTTTAATTGAAAATAGCCTAATTTAAATATTTTATATACGTTTTTATCAAGCAATATAAATAATGCATTTAAGATTTCTCTCAAATAAAGTTAATTTCTTGGAGTGAAAGAGTATAAAATTGAAATTTTACTGACACCAGATTACAAATTAAGAAAAAAAAAGGCATCTCCTGCTCTTGCAACTAAAAATTGCTGATGGTTTGCGTTATCTGTTGAAATAAATATCAACTAATCATCGATTTTTTATTATTCCAAAATTGGCTAATTCCTTATCATGACTAAACAAGAAAAGCTTGATTTTCCTCTATACCCTTGATTTCCCCACTTCAATATGCTACCTAAATTAACCTTTATCCATTTTATTATAACTGTGTTTTTAATATATTGATACATAAATGAAATTTCCCATAGTTAGCAATTTCTTTAGAGTTCCTAATTAATTAAATATTTATTCAAGATCCATTTCATTCAGAAACTAATATTGTCAATCGAAAATTAATAAACATTTTCAAATTTGGATGATTTTATATTAACTATAACATTAGCTCCTAGAACATAAACTGAGAAATTCTAGTATATCTAAACCAAATTGATAAATTGTGTGAAGTTTCATTCAACTTTTTTAAAAAAGGTATTTAAAACAATAGTCATGAAAATAGCTGAAGTTTAAGCTGGCAAGATCTATTAGCAACAATATAGGGAAAATCAA